TCCTTCCACCCATGTGGAAGACTCAGATGGAATTTTTAGCTCTTGGCATCAGGATGGCCAGAATCTGGTGGTTGTGGATATTTGGGAAGTGAACCAGCAGACTGAAGTTCTGTCTCGCTGCCCCTCATGTAAATAACTCTTTAAAAAGATTAAGAATTTGGGGCCGGTGCTGTGGTGTAGAAGGTTAAACTGCCGCTTGCAGTGCCAGCATCTCATATGAGCACCACCCCCCTGTTAATGAGCTTGGGAAAGCAGTGGAAGATGGTTTAAGTCTTTCGGCCCCTGCACCCACGTGGGAGACCACAAAGAAAATCCTGACCCCTGACTTTGGCCTGTCTCAGCCCTAGCTGTCACAGCTACTTGGGGAGTGAACCAGTGGATAGAAGTCTCACTCCTCTCTATCTCTTTCAAATAAATAAATCTCTTTAAAAATTCAAGTTTCAGGTGTCTACATAATTTTTTTAAAAATTTTATTTATTTGAAAAGCAGAGAGCCCTGCTATCTTCTGGTTCACCTCCCCAAATGCCTGCAATAGCCAGCCTGAAGGAGTCCAAAGTCAAGTCAGGCACCCAAGTACTTGAGCCATCATCTGCGGTCTTCACAGTGTGTGGATCAGTAGGAAGCTGATTCAGAAGTGGAGAGGGGGCTGGAATCTAGGCACTTCATTATGGGCTGCAGGGGTTGCAAGTGGTGTCTTAATTTCTGCACTAAATGCCTGGCCCTACAAATCTGTTGAAAAGCTTCTCAGGGCAAGCTTTTGGCCTGGCAGTTAAGACACCAGTTGGGACACCTACATCCCATATCAGAGTGCCTGGGTTTGAGTCCTGGCTCCACTGGCAGTTGCAGCTTTATGTTGATGTGCATCCTGGGAAGCAGCAGGGCATGATGGTTTAGCTGCCTGGGTCCCTGCTACCCATGGATTCAGTTCCCACCTCCCGACTTCAGCCCTGTCTGTTGGAGACATTCAGGGAGTGAACCAGCAGATGGGGGCTCACTTGCTCTGTCTCTGTCTCAAAAGGAATAAAAGTCTAAATGAATAAGAAGTTTCTTAGAACCATCTGGAGTGGTCATTGGGGTCTCAAGTTTCACAAATTTTTTTAGGAACTCAGATCCAGTCTATTGTGTTTAATAGGAGAGGATGGGCCAGTGCTGTGGCATAGTGGGTAAAGCTGCCATCTGCGGTACTGGCATCCCATATGAGTGCCAGTTCATGTCCTGGCTGCTCCTCTTTAGATCCAGCTCTGCTGTGGCCTGGAAAAGCAGCAGAGGATGGCCCAAATCCTTGGGTCCCTGCACCTGCGTGGGATACCGGAAAGAAGCTCCAGGCTCTTGGCTTTGGATCGGCCCAGCTCTATCTGTTGTGGCCATTTGAGGAATGAACCAGCAGATGGAAGATCTCTGCTTCTGCCTCTGCAATTCTGCCTTTCAAATAAATCAATAAATTTTTAAAAAAAGGTTAAAGAGGAAAGAGGTGTGAAGTAGCTTATGTTAATAGAGGCACTTCTAGTAATTAATGACTAAGTTATGAGCAGGACTTAGCTCCTTTGTCCATTCTGCCTACAGTGTCTTGACTGTGACTAAATACATGGTGGGGCTGGCGCCATGGCTCAATAGGCTAATCCTCCGCCTTGCAGCGCCGGGACACCGGGTTCTAGTCCCGGTCGGGGCACCGGATTCTGTCCCAGTTGCCTCTCTTCCAGGCCAGCTCTCTGCTATGGCCCGGGAGTGCAGTGGAGGATGGCCCAAGTGCTTGGGCCCTGCACCCGCATGGGAGACCAGGAAAAGCACCTGGCTCCTGGCTTCAGATCAGCATGGTGGGCCGGCCGCGGTGGCCATTGGAGGGTGAACCAACGGCAAAGGAAGACCTTTCTGTCTCTCTCTCTCTCTCACTGTCCACTCTGCCTGTCAAAAAAATAAATAAATAAAAAAATTTTAAAAAAATACATGGTAGGACATAATTCTTCCAAACACTTGTGCACTCATTGAATGCCTGATGGGTCAACTTTTCTTTTTAGCTTAATAGTTTAAAACTGACATAGTGAAGGTTTTCTTTAAATGTTTACTATTTTAATTTTTTTGAAAAGTAGACAGACAGTAAACAGGTTTCTCCAAATGCCTTCAATAGCCAGGGCTGGGTTGTGCTAAAGCCCTGAGTATTGAAGCGCAGGTCTCCCATGTGAGTGGCAGGAACCCAGTTACTTGAGCTGTTACTGCTGCCTCGTGGGTCTGCACTGGCAGGGAGCTGTAGCCAGGATCTGGGGTCTGGAAATGAACCGAGGTCCCCCTGTGTAGGATACTGTCATCTTAATCACTAGGCCAAATGCCTACCCTTTACTTTTTTAAAAAAGATTTATTCATTTATTTGAAAGGCAGAGTTGGGGGAGGGGAGAGCAAGAAAGAGGTCATCCATCTGCTGGTTCATTCCCTAAGTGACTGCCAATGTCCAGGGCTGGGCCAGGAGACTAGAACTCTATCTGGGTCTCCCAAGTGGGTAGCAGGAACCCAAGAACTTGGGCCATCCTGTGCTGCTGTTCAAGGTGTATTTGCAGGGAGCTGGATCTGAAGTGGTACAGCTGGGACTTGGATTAGCTCTCATACAGGATTCTAGTGTCCCAGGTGGCAGCTTAACCTGCTGGGCCACCACGCCAGCCTCCCACCTTTATGCATCAGCTACATTTCTGTTCCTGGTACTGCAATGTGTTTGCAGCTTATAGAAGTCATCTCTTTTCCTCACAACATAGTAATTCCTGAATCCAGAGTCTGTCTCATTCCAGAAAACTTACACCAGCCACTGTATCAAGATATCGCACTCTAACTTATTGATGTTAAGAGGGTAATTATGTAAAAAAAAAAAGTTAAGAAACAGACATACTCCATTGTCTCATTAAACACTCATTTAATTTTTTAAAAAATATTTATTTTATTTGAAAGAGTTACACAGAGGAGAGGCAGAGAGAGAGAGAGGTCTTCCATTCGATGGTTCACTCCCCAATTGGCTGCAATGGCCGGAGCTGTGCCAATCCAATGCCAGGACCTTCCTCTCGGTCTCCCACATGGGTGCAGGGGCCCAAGGACTTAGGCCATTGTCCACTGCTTCCCAGGCCACAGCAGAGAGCTGGATCAGAAGTGGAGCAGCCGGGACTTGAACCAGTGCCAATAAGGGATGCCGGCACTGCAGGCGGTGGCCCTATCTGCTATGCCATAGCACTGGCCTCAGTGAGCTTTTTGAATTTTACAAAACTCTGCATTCTATGAGGCCTGTCCTTTTCTAGACACATGGGCACAGCAGAGTACAAAGCCAAGACCCGTTCTCCTGGAGCTTACATTCTGAAGGAATAGAAAATCAATACACACATATGTAGATGTTAGGGAGTGGAAACTGTGATGACAAACTAAAAGCAGGATAAGGGAAATGGAGGATGAGATGCCGTGCAATGATCGGGATGAAGCGAGGGAGCAAACAGCTGCAAATCTGGTAGACAAATGTCCCCAGGCCACCTTTACCCAAGCTGCAAACACTGTGAGAGCTAGTTGGTTGGTTCCCTGGTCACTCTTACTCCTGTTCCAGCCCAAAGAAGGGGATGGTGTGGTTTAGGAGAGTTCCCACCTTGTCACACCCCAGATTCCAACTCTTGTGAGCCACTGTCCCAGGAGCAACCCAAAGCACAGTTCAGCCTATGTGCGACTCTTTAGGACTGAGAAAACAGTTGCAGCTAAACGTTCCTTCACACCTTTTGACATCTTTCCTTTTACAAGGCAGTGGGCCCCAGCCATTCATGTGGGTGACCAGGATGGAAACTCCTGGCTCCAGCTTGGCACAACTCTGGCTGATGTGGGAATCTGGGCAGTGAACCAGCGGATGGAAGGTCTCTCTGTGTCTCTACCTCTCTGTGACACTCAGCCTTTCAAATAAATCCTTAGAAAAAACTCCTCAAACTACTTTTTTTTTTTTTTTGACAGGCAGAGTGGACAGTGAGAGAGAGAGACAGAGAGAGAAAGGTCTTCCTTTGCCGTTGGTTCACCCTCCAATGGCCGCCGCGGCCAGCGCACCGCACTGATCCAATGGCAGGAGCCAGGTACTTATCCTGGTCTCCCATGGGGTGCAGGGCCCAAGCACCTGGGCCATCCTCCACTGCACTCCCTGGCCATAGCAGAGAGCTGGCCTGGAAGAGGGGCAACCGGGACAGAATCCGGCGCCCCGACCGGGACTAGAACCGGTGTGCCGGCGCCGCAAGGTGGAGGATTAGCCTATTGAGCCACGGCGCCGGCCTTTTTTTTTTTTTTTTTTACTACTTTTTAAAGTAACTGCACCTGTTTACACCCCTACCAGCTGCAAAAGAGTTTCCACTGTTTGACATGTTCATGAAACCAGTGATGAACGACCTTTAACCAGTGTCTTTCACTTCGACTTCCTTTTATAATCCCACCTTTCTCAGAGCTAGAGGACAGTGCCATGGCGAAGCACTTTGCAAGGTGCTCAGTGAATTCCTATTGATCGATGTCACCTCTCTGCTTAAAATTTTCGACGCTTTTCTAAATCTGCAGGAAGTGCTCCGTGAGATCACAGTGATAATGTACTCGTTTTATATTCCCAGAAACCTAACATAATTTGTAAAATATCTTGCAGGAGGCACTAAGTCAACATTTTATGAATGAGTATCAGAACACCACCTCCGCCAATCACACATTTCTTCTACCGCATTTACACATCGAATCGTCACCTACTTATGACATGCCCAACCTGGCAGCGTCTGCAGGCTTCCAATCAGTATCAGAGTCACACTTGGAAGCGTTTACCTGGAACTACAAAGGCACATGCGCGATGACGCGGAAGTCGGGGCGGGCGAGACGCCGTAGCGGTGACGTAGTGTGCCTGCGCCGAGGCCTCACCCGGGATTGGCTGAGCGGAGGCGGGAACCTTGAGCTCCTCCGGCTGTGAGGAGAGCGTTGTTTACCCGCGGCTCTTCTCTGTGTACGGGTTTAGCTCATCCTCTGCCGTGCGTCCTTGAAGGGGAAGCCGGGGAAGCCGGGGAAGCCGGCGACAGCGTTACGCTGGTGCGGGATGAAACGGGTAGTGGCTCTGGAGTTGGCCAGGAGGACGTAGCGACGGCGGACGCCTCTTGGGAGTCCCGGAGCCGCGGTGTCTGAAGTGCGTGGCATTGGGTGGCCTGGAGGGGCGGGCGGGCTGGCGGCAGTGGTGGTGCTGCTGGTGCTCCGGGGGTGGTCCCTGGGATGTCCTGTGCCGGTGGTACGCGCAGGCTGCTTTGGCGTTGGGATCGCTCTCCCTGCACCGATCTGCCCTCGCTGGCGCTCTGAAGCTGCTTCCCGGGGCCTGGAGGGGGTCGGTGCTAGCGATGGATCACGGGTCTTCAGAAAGTTTCGGCGTGTGTGCCTTATGATGTCCATGGGTTCAACATTTCTTCTTTTTGCACCAAACTGTCATAATTCCGTCTTAAGAACTTTTTGAAACACCCTACTAGATGTCGATGGGTTTAGGGTGGTGATTCTTAGTGCTTAGTGTTCGGAGATCTAGTATCTAGCATCTAGTCCAATTTCGCAAATGGGGAAGTTGGTTTGTTTTTTTAAATAGCTTGCCTGAAGTTAAGCTTGTTTGAAGTGGAAGACAGCTACGCTGGCATTTCTTTCATATCTTTCTGTTTCTCGCTACTGTACTTTTCTAATATAGCTTTAAAAGGTTGTCGGTCGAAATTTTCTCAGCATTACAGGAGCGCCTGACTGTTGTAGAGAGTAGAACCTATTACATCCCGGGGTGTGTGTATCCTAGTTTTATTCATACTATCTAGAAATTACTAGTTTAAGTAGCCTCATCAACTGTCTTGTTATTTCAGCTGATAGTCAACTAAAAGCCTTCCATTTATCTGAACCTTGAAGTTTTCTGTTTCATTTGGTCATTATATAGCCTTTTTTTTTAATAATTTTATTTTTTTGACAGGCAGAGTGGACAGTGAGAGAGAGACAGAGAGAAAGGTCTTCCTTTTTTCCGTTGGTTCACCCTCCAATGGCCGCCGCGGCACGTGCGCTGCAGCCGGCGCACCGCGCTGAACCGATGGCTGGAGCCAGGTGCTTTTCCTGGTCTCCCATGGGGTGCAGGGCCCAGGGACTTGGGCCATCCTCCACTGCACTCCCTGGCCACAGCAGAGAGCTGGCCTGGAAGAGGAGCAACTGGGACAGAATCCGGCGCCCCGACCGGGACTAGAACCCGGTGTCCCGGCGCCGCAAGGCGGAGGATTAGCCTAGTGAGCAGCGGCGCTGGCTTTTATATAGCCTTTCTAAATGCAGCCTGATTTTCACTCATATTTCTGTTAAATCATCTCGTTGCAGTTAGTTTGTGTCAATTTCAAATTCATGTGATTTACGTAGCTAGAGACATGTAAAGACATGTAATATTCTTACTCGTGCAAAGGACATGAGTTTGTTGTTTTGGCATGATTTATGTGTTGACCTAGAAATATTGCTTCTGAAATGATCGCAAACCATCTCTTTCATTCATAATTTTCTCTAAGATTGTGCTAATAGCGATCTTTTGTCCTTTAATAAAAAAATAGCATTGAGTGACCTTTACTGTAACCCCCCAAGCTCTATGAAGACTTACATCAAATATTTTAACATTGTTGAAAATGGGAAATGTCTATCCATCAGTGATGACTTGATGTTTAGTTGGCTGCACTTTTTTCTGGAATACATAAAATAATGCTATATTTTTAATTGTTGGCATTTTAGATTCGATGAATACAGTAGTTAAAAAATTATAAATGGCATTTTCCCTATTACAAAGATAAAATTTTCAATGTAGAAAATTTTAAATATATACAAATACTCAGAAGAAAATAAAAAAAATTACTGGTTATTCTAATACCTAGAGATAATGGCATGTGTTTTTCTAGTCTTTTTTTTTTTTAAGATCTATTTTATTTATTTGAAAGATGGAATTACAGAGAGAGGTAGAGACAGAGGTCTTCCATTCACTGGTTCACTCTCCAAATAGTCACAGCTGGAGCTGAGCTGATCTGAAGCCAGGAGCTTCCTTTAGGTCTCCCAAATGAACCAAGGATTTGGTTCATTCTCTGCTGCTTTCCCAGGCGCATTAGCAGGGAGCAGTCGAACTTGAACCAGCACCCATAGAAGATGCTAGCGCTGCAGGCCAGGGCTTTAACCTGCTGCGCCACAGCGCTGGCCCCTTTCTAGTCTTTTTAAGGATTGCCTGTTATATATAACAAAATTATATCTGTTTATAACTGTATAATTTACAGTGTAGTTACATATGTATTTTGCAGTGATTTCTTTGCATTGATTGATTTGTTTGAAAGGCAGAGTAACAGTGAGTGAGTGAACATACCCCCAGTGGCCACAACAGCCAGGGCTGTGCCAGTCCTAGAGCCAGGATCCTGGAACTGATCTCCCATATGGGTGGCAGGGGCCCAAGCAATTGGACCATCATATGCTGCTTCCCAGGTATGTTAGCAGGAACCAGATCAGAAGCAGAGAATCTGGGACTGAAACTAGCATCCCAAGTTGGGGCTTAACTGCCATGCCACAGTGTTGTTCACAAATGTGTAATACCCCTATAGCCACATTATAATCTGACAGGCGGAGAGAAAGAGAGAGAAATGAATGAGAATGCTCCCATCTGCTGATTGACTCCCCAGATGTTGAAAAGGGCCAGGCTGAAGATGGGAGCTTGGAATTCAATCCAGGTCTTCCACCTGGGTTGAGCCATCATGTGCTTCCTTCCCAGGGTGTGTGTTAACAGAGAGCTGAAATCTGGAGCAGAGTCAGGATTCAGACGCAGGAATTCTGATCTGGGATGTGGGCATCCTAACTGGAGCATTCTACTTTTTTTTTTAGAAAGAGTGAAAGAGAGATTTTCCATCTCTAGGTTCACTTCCCAAAAGGCTGTAATGGCTGTGCCTCATCCAGGAGAAGCCAGGCATCCAGAACTCCACTGGAGTCTCCAACGTGGGTGGAAGGGACCCTAGGTAGTTGGGCCATCCTCCACTGTCTCCTCAGGTGCATTAGCAGGGAGCAACATTGGAAGTGGAGCAGCTAGAACTCAAACCATTGCTTTGATATGGGATGTTGGCATTGCAGATGGCAATTTTTTAAAAAATTTAAAGAAAAAAGTATGTATGTGTGGCCAGCACTGTGGCACAGTGGATTAAGCCACAGCCTGTGGTGTCAGCATCTCATATGGGTGCTGGTTTTAGTCCTAGCTTCTCCACTTCTGATCCAGCTCCCTACTAATGTGCATGGGAAAGCAGCAGAAGATGGCCCAAGCCTCTGTACACACATGGGAGATCTGGAAGAAGCTCCTGGCTCCTGGCTTCTGCCTGGCACAGCCTTGGCCATTGTGGCCATTTAGGGGATGAATGAGTGGATGAAAGATCTCTTTCTGTCTCTCCTTTAACTCTACCTTTCAAATAAATCTTAAAAAAAAAAAATAGAGTATATATGCATATGTTATTGATTTTCTTTTTTTACTCTATTTTAAAAAGTTGGAATGAAACTGAACATGTGGCTGTTTTTCATTTGTTGCATCCAAAACACTTCTCATGCCATTAAATTTTTTTTTTTTTTTAAATTTATTTGAAAGGCAGAGTTAGAGAGAGAGACATCTTCTATCCACTGGTTCACTCCCTGAATGGCTGCAATGGCCAAAGCTGGGCCAGGCCAAAACCAGGAGGCCTGAACTATCCAGTCTCCCACTTAGCAGCGGGAGCACTTGGGCCATCTTCCACTGCTTTCCCAAGTGTATTAGCAAGGAGTTGGAGGGAAAACAGAGCTGTAGGGACTTGAACTAGCTATCACATTGGAATGCTGGAGTTGCAGGTCTTGGATTAACCTGTTGTGCCACAATCCCAGCCCCTAAACATTCTTTTTTTTTTTTTTTTTTTTTGACAGGCAGAGTGGACAGTGAGAGAGAGAGACAGAGAGAAAGGTCTTCCTTTTGCCGTTGGTTCACCCTCCAATGGCTGCCGCAGCTGGCGCGCTGCGGCCAGCGCACTGCGCTGATCTGATGGCAGGAGCCAGGTACTTATCTTGGTCTCCCATGGGGTGCAGGGCCCAAGCACTTGGGCCACCCTCCACTGCACTCCCTGGCCACAGCAGAGAGCTGGCCTGGAAGAGGGGCAACCGGGACAGAATCTGGCGCCCCGACCAGGACTAGAACCTGGTGTGCCGGCGCCGCAGGCGGAGGATTAGCCTAGTGAGCCAAGGCGCCAGCCTAAACATTCTTTTAAAAAGTGTGTATTTGTCATTAATGGCTGTAGATTCATTCATATGACGAACACTAAGTGCTAGCTATGTGTTTGCTATAATAATAAATGAAATATTAGTATCCTTTATCTGAAATAACTAGCAATATTTTGTATATATAATGAAATATCTTAGGGATGGGACCCAAGTCAGAACACAGAATTCATTTGTTTTGTATATACCTTATACACATAGCCTAAGGGTAATTGTATGCAATATTTTAAGTGTAATTGCCTTTTTAAAGAAAATTAAGATTTAAAAATTTATTTTTGCTTTTCATTTTATTTGAAAGGCAGAGAAAGACAAAGATATTTCTGTTTTCTGATTCATTTCCCAAGTGCTTAAAACAGCTGGGCCTAGTCCAGGCCACAGCCAGGAGCCCAGTACTTAAGCCATGAAGTGCTGCCTCTCCAACCCAGGCTCTCTGATATGGCATACAGGTGTCTCAAGTAGCGTCTAATCTCTGTGCCAGATTACCACCCCCAACACTTGCCTTTCAACTATGAGCTTTATATGAGGTCAGGTGTGGATTGTTTACACAGCTCAGAGGGAACATTAGAGCAGTCTGATTGCAGTTTGAAAATGTTTGGATAGTGCATGCATAATCAGACTCATGAATTATTTCTGTTTTGGCTGTTTTTCAGGTCAGTACTATTGAATATGAGACGATCTGCAGCACCAAGTCAGTTGCAGGGGAATTCCTTCAAAAGACTAAAATTTTTACCCCCAGGAAGAAGTAATCCAAGTCCAAAAGAAGAGATTATAAAACTGAATCCAGATATAAAGTTATTTAAGGTAAAAAAAAATAATACAGAGAAACATGTATTTAAAAAATTTTTATTTATTTGAGAAGCAGAGAGACAGAGATTTTCCATCCACTGGTTCACTCCCAAAATGCCTGCAACAGCTGCAGCTGGGCCAGGCTGAATTCAGCAGCCAAGAACTCAATCCAGGTCTCTCACAGGGGAAGCAGGGACCCAACTACCTGAGCCATCACCTGTTGCTTCCCTGGATGCGCAATAGCTGGAAGCTAGAATTGAGGTTGGAGTTGGGACCAGAACCCCCGCACTCTGAAGCAGGATGTGAGTGTGCCAAGCGGCATCTTAACTACCATGCTGCTAAACTCCTGTCTCTCTGCCTTTTTTAAAATTTTTTTTTATTTTTTATTTTTTGACAGGCAGAGTGGACAGTGAGAGAGACAGACAGAGAGAAAGGTCTTCCTTTGCCGTTGGTTCACCCTCCAATGGCTGCCGCGGCTGGCGCATTGCACTGATCCGAAGGCAGGAGCCAGGTGCTTCTCCTGGTCTCCCATGGGGTGCAGGGCCCAAGCACTTGGGCCATCCTCCACTGCACTCCCGGGCCACAGCAGAGAGCTAGCCTGGAAGAGGGGCAACCGGGACAGAATCCGGCGCCCTGACCGGGACTGGAACCCGGTATGCCGGCGCCGCTAGGTGGAGGATTAGCCTATTGAGCCGTGGTGCCGGCCCTGTCTCTCTGCCTTTAAAAAAAAATAAAACTGTTGCAAAAATGAAATTTGTGACTTCCATTAGTTGACTTACTTTGAAATCTTATCAGAGGTTTTTGAAAATGTAGCCGCTAACAGTAAATTTATTGTGATGATTATAATCCTGTCACCCACATGGGGGACCTGGATGTAGTTTCTAGCTCCTGGCTTTGGCCTGGCCTAGTCCTGGCTGTTGCAGGCGTTTAGGAAACAAACCAGCAGATGGAAGATCTCTCTGTCACTCTGTCTTTGAAGTGGGTGAAAGTAAATAAACATGTTTTGAAAAGGTTCATATTTTAATTCCAGGAATATGAATATGTTACCTTACATAGCAGAAGGGATTTTAGTGAATTGATTAATTTTAAAGACCTCAGTTGAGATGAGGAGGTTGTCCTGGATTATCTGACTGGGCCCCAAATAATCTCAAGTGTCCTTAAAAGTGGGAGGAGTCAAGAGAGTCAGAGATTATGTGATTATGGAAGTGATTATGGAAGTAGGGGCAGAGAAATGCAATACAGCTGGCTTTCAAGATGGTGGTGGTGGTGGGGCGCAAGCTAGGGCATGTGGGTGGTTTGTGGAAGTTTGGAAAAACATGTAGCTTCTGGAAAGGAATGTGGTTTTGCTGATTACTTGATTTTAGCTCATTAAGACCCAAGTAGTAACTTGGAGTTGTAATTCGTGGGACTACAATATGATAAATATTTTTTGCTTTGTTAATACATTTGTGGTAATTTGGTACAGCAGCAGTAGAAAATGTGTAGATATGCAAAATGAACCCCTGTGTCTCTGCTCAACCCCTTACCTAGCTTCAACAATTGATAATTCGTGATCACTCTTGTTTCTCTTTTCCTGCCCAGTTCCCTGTCCAGACCCTCCCCACTTACTTTGATGCAGATCCCAAGAATATCTTTTCATTTGTAAATTTTTTTGTATGTGTCTCAAATATTCTATAGTATACAAGGGCTCTATAAGAAAGACCAATAGTGAAATTACCAGTATTTCACCTAAAAATTAACAATATTTAAGTGTTGATTTTTTTTAAAGATTTATTTTATTTATTTGAAAGAGTTAGAGAGAGAGGTAGAGACAGAGAAAGAAGTCTTCCATCTGCTGGTTCACTCCCCAGATGGCCGCAACAGCTGGAGCTGCGCCAATCCAGAGCCAGGAGCCAGGAGCTTCTTCCAGGTCTCCCATTTGGGTGCAGGGGCCCAAGGACTTGGGCCGTCTTCCAGTGCTTTTCCAGGCCATAGCTGGATTGGAAGAGGAGCAGCTAGGACTAGAACTGGCGCCCATATGGGATGCTGTTTCGTCAGGCCAGGGCTTTTAACCCACTGCGTCACAGCACTGGCCTCTAAGTGTTGATTTTAGTGTTGAAAAATTTAACAAGAAAAAGCTTTTTTTTTTTTTAGATTTATTTATTTATTTGAAAGAGTTACATAGAGGCAGAGGCAGAGAGAGGAGAGAGGTCTTCCAGTCACTGGTTCACTCCTCAATTGGCTGCAACGGTTGGAGCTGCACCAATCCAAAGCCAGGAGCCAGGAGCTTCTTCCAGGTCTCCCACATGGGTTCAGGGGCCCAAAGGCTTGGGCCATCTTCCACTGCTTTCCCAGGCCATAGCAGGGAGCTGGATTAGAAGTGGAGCAGCCAGGACTAGAACTGACGCTCATATGGGATGCTGGCACTGCAGGCTCTGGCTTTAACCTACTACGCCACAGCGCCAGCCCCAAGAAAAAGCTTTTTAAATTATAAGAATGGCATGTTATGATTTGTTTAAAACTCTTCTCACTGTAATTATAAGAGCAGTTTTCATTGCCATATCTTCCTGCTTTAAAAGCAATAACAGTTGGATTCAGTTTATCATAAAATATCTGTTCTTGATTCAGAAATATAGAAACCAGTAGCTTATTTTTTAAAGATTTGTTTATTTGAGTTTATTTGTTTATTTGAGGCAGAGTTTCAGAAAGGGAGAGAAAGAGAGAAAGAGATACTGTATCTGCTGTGTTGCTCTCCAGATGGTTGCAACAGCCCAGTCTGGGCCAGGTCAAAACCAGGAGCTTAGAACTCCATCTGGGTCTCTCATATGGGCAGCAGGGGCCCAGGTACTTGGACCATCTTCTGCTGCCTGCCCAGGGGCATTAGCAGGGAGCTAGATTGGAAGTAGAGCAGCAGGGACTCAAACCCACACTCACATGGGAAGCTGGTGTTGCAGGTGGTGGCTTAATTCACTGTGCTACAATGCTTGCCCCATTAGCTCATATTTTAAATTAGAAATCTATTATTTAAAAATCTGGAAAATTAGAAGAACTCAAGAAAATGTAAAATTAGAATTAATTTTTGATTAAAATATGTATTTGCTTCTTTTAGGGTGCTGCAGATAACTCCTTTCAGCAGTCAGAAAATGATGCTAGAATATGCAGTACAAACCCTCTGCCTACAGAAGAAAATACTAAAGAAATTAATCATGGGAATAATTCTAGGATAAACTGTTTCGTTGAAGCATCTGCCACGACCTCATTAGATCCACCTCCTTTCGGTAAGATGATGCTTTCTGTTGGTCAGGTTTGTACTTGGTACAGTATTCTTTAACTGATTATTCAAGAATGAATATAGTATATTTGAAAATTGTTGTGCAAGTGAGTCGTTGCCAAGTGACATTTTTTGTTGCCATAATTTATCTTCAGTGATTGTATTAATAACCATATAACTGAAATCTTGCACTTCAATAACTATTTTAGATTGTTTGTTGTAAACTTATAGCATCAGTTGTGTGTGTGTGTTTTTTTATTTATTTGCAAAGCAGAGTTACAGAGAGGCAGAGAGAGAGAGAGAGAGAGGTCTTCCATCCACTGGTTTACTAAGCAAAGGACCACAACAGCTGGAGCTGGGTTGATCCAAAGCCAGGAGCTAGGAGCTTCTTCTGGGTCTCCCATTTGGGTGCAGGGGCCCAAGCACTTGGGCTGTCTTCTACTGCTTTCCCCCGCCATGGCAGAGGACTAGATCGGAAGTAGAGCAGCTGGGGCCTGAACCGGCATGCATATGGGATGCTGGCACTGCAGGTGGTAGCTTTACATGCTACCACAGCTAGCCACAGCTCGGGTTCTGTTGTGCGTGTGTGTGTGTGTGTGTGTGTATGTGTGTTTTAAGATTTATTTATTTATTTGACAGGCAGAGTTAGATAGGGAGAGACAGAGAGATCTTCTGTCTGCTGGTTTATTCCCCAAATGGCTGTGATGGTCAGAGTTGGGCCAGGAGCCAAGAGCTTCTTCTTCAGATCTTCTACATGGGTGCAGGGTCCAAGTTCTTGGGCCATCTTCTGCTGCTTTCCCTAGGCACATTAGCAGGGAGCTGCATCGGAAGTAGAGCTGCCGGGATTTGAACTGGCGCCCATACTGAATGCTGGCATCGCAGATAGTAGCTTTACCTGCTGTGCCATAGTGCCCCCATCAATTGTATTTGAGTATTTAAATTTTTTTTTTCTAAAAAACTTGTAAACATTAGAGAGGTGAACCTGAAGTGAGCAAATTGTTAATTTGAAATCAGTTAGACTTGAATTATCAAGGTACATAATTGCACGGAAGCCAAGCATTTAAGAAATGCTGGGGGCCGGCACTATAGCACAGTGGGTTAACGCCCTGGCCAGAACTACCAGCATCCCATATGGGCGTGGGTTCAAGTCCCGGCTGCTCCACTTCCAATCGAGCTCTCTGCTGTGGCCTGGGAAAGCAGTAAAAGATGGCCCAAGTCCTTGGGCCCCTGCACCCACATGGGAGACCTGGAAGAAGCTCCTGGTTCCTGGCTTTGGATTGGCGCAGCTCTGGCAGTTGTGGCCAATTGGGGAGTGAACCATCAGATGGAAGACTCTGACTCTCTCTCTCTCTCTCTGTCTCTCTTCTTGTGTAACTCTGAATTAATAAATCTTTAAAAAAAAAAAGAAATGCTATGTCTCTTCATTGTTGATTAAAAAAATGATCATGATTCTTTGACTCTGTTTGACATCACCGTTTTTCAGGTAACTAAAAAAAATACTAAAAAAGAAAAAGTAGTTTACAGATGTTTAGTTGGCCTTTTAAAGGCATCAGTAAGACTATGTTTTTCCAAATTTCTTATTTTTGTGGTTGAATGAACAGATTGAGGGAACTGGCCCCATCAGGTGGACTGCCGGATAGCAGCTGCAATTTTTTTTTTTTTTAATTTATTTTATTTATTTGAAAGACAGAGTTACAGAGAGAGGTAGAGACAGAGAGAGAAGTCTTCCATCCGCTGGTTCACTCCCCAGATGGCCACAACGGCTGGAGCTGCGCCGAAGCGAAGCCAGGAGCCAGGAACTTCTTGGTCTCCCACGTGGATGCAGGGGCCCAGGGACTCGGGCCATCTTCTAATGCTATCTCAGGCCGTAGCAGAGAGCTGGATTGGAAGAGGAGCAGCCGGGACTAGAACTGGCACCCATATGGGATGCCTGCGCTTCAGGCCAGGGCTTTAACTCGCTGCGCCACAGTGCTGGCCCCACAACTGCTATTCTTACGATATCAGTGCAAATCAACAAAGTAACTTAAGAGAATAACATTTTGAAGGAAGTTCTTGAACTTTGCGATGATTAAAAATTTTATCTATGAATGAGTTCATTTCTTGTTGGAATAGAAAAGGAATTTTGTATTTTTTTCAGCTGAACATCATCTTGATGCCATTTAAGTACTCCTTGTAACTTTTTAAAAGCAGTGACTAGTGTCACTGGGAAGGTGAGAAAGACTTTCTGTGCCAGTGTCAATTTAGAGAGGTCCCTAGGGCTGGCTGTGTCATGGCGGTTTAGCTGCAGCGTTGCCTCACTGATTTGCTCTCCCTTCTTTCTTCCATGTGTTCTCCCTGTCTTTTCTTCTTCCATCCTTTTTAGTTAGGTGTTCTGTTTTCCCACGCTTTCTGTTGTCAAGCTGGAGGCAGATAATGATACACATATGCCTTATTTTCTGTCCTGCTAGCTAATCTTCACCAGAGAATGATACTTAGACTGTGGAGTATTATACATTCTGTTTTACTGGTTTTGGGCTTTGTGTTCGATTATAGTTTCTCATTCTGTTCCCTGTTAAATATGACAAGGGAGGGAAGAGTTAAGATAAATTGAAGACAGAATTAATTTCCTCAACCCTTAATCCGTTAATCCTTCCTCTGATTTAGTGCATTCACTGGACTGGGGAACCTGTGCCAGCCTCCCAGCACTCTCCTGCCTCTCATTCGGGGAGAGGTTAAATTGGGAGAAAAAGCCATTTGAGAACTGTTTTGTTCCCCATGGTGGATGCCTGGAGAGGGAGGTAGGAAAGCTTGGAGGCAAGAGGCATGTATGGCCTACACTTATCTGTGACATCCTTTTAGTTTTAGATCCAATCCCCCTGAAGTGAGGGGCAAGCCTGTATGTCCTTTCCAGTTAAATTATGTTCTTGTTTTCCACTATCACCTTTCTAATTTTAAAAATTCCCTACAAATAGAGAAGTTGAAACCACGTTCCAGTTAACGTCCTAAATTCGAGTTACATTTCTCCTCATTTGTCAATGCTTTCTCTTTGTGTGTATATGAACTTTCCCCCTGCACCTCCATCATTTATTTATTATAGTATGAGTGTGTGAGTGAGCGAGCATGCAAGTGAGCTACCTATAGAGAAGGAGAGAATCTTCCATTGGCTGGTTGATTCCCAAAATGCATGCAATAGCTGGGGCAGGGGCAGAGCCAGGAGCCAGAAACTGAGTGCATGGGTGGCAAGGACCCAACTACTTGAGTGGCTACTCACCTGCTGCTCCTAGCTGTAGATGGGAGCCAGAGCTGGCTGCAGTATGAGATGTGGGCCTCCTAACTAGTCTCTTTAAGACTAGGCCAGCTCCTTGTCTTTTCCTGGATCTTTTGGACATAAGTTGCATATATCATGCTGTTTTACCTCTGCCTACTTCGGCAAATGTTTCCTCAAATAACTATTTTCTCCTGTGTAGCTATACATTATTCCAAAAAAGATTGTGATTCATAGTATTTTTTTTTAAAGATTTATTTATTTATTTGGAAGGCAGAGTTACAGAGAGGCAGAGGCAAAGAGAGAGAGAGAGAGGTCTTCCATCCGTTGGGTTGCTTCCCAAATGGCCACAACGGCTGGAGCTGAGCTGATCTGAAGCCAGGAGCTTCTTTCACATCTTCCATGTGGATGCAGGGACCCAAGGACTTGTGCCATCTTTCTCTGCTTTCCCAGGCCACAGTAGAGAGCTGGATCGGAAGTGGAGCAGCCAGGACTTGAATCCATATGGATGCTGGCACTGCAGGCAGCGACTTTTACCTGCTACACCACAGTGCTGGCCTCAATTCATAGTATTTATTATTTTCTTCATCAATAATACCATTTTTGCTGGAGCTAATTTAAGTTTGTTTTCTTTCTCAACTGAAAGAACCTGTTTTCACTTCATTTTGCTTTACTGGGTACTTCATATCTCTGCGTAATACCACAGAGGCACAGATGCTCCTATGCAAGTCAGGGTGTAGGTTTACCACTAAGGACTTCCCTCAAAGCTAAGAGAAGGTGCCTTTTTTAGATGCTGTTGTAGAAGAATCCATTTTATTATGTCCAGGCTCCACAGCCCTTTCTCTTGATGAAAAATTCAGCTCAATACTTTTGAGCCTGGGCCTGTGAAAACCAAATCCTGGAACAAGGGAAATGTAATGGGTTAGATTGTGTCCTCTAAAAAGGTATATTTACTTGGCGGCTGGTGTTGTGGCATAGCAGGTGAAGCCATTGCCTGTGATGCTAGCATCCCATGCTCTATACCCGTGGTGTCCCAGCTGCTGCGCTTCTGATCCAGCTCCCTGCTAATGGCCTGGGAATAGCAATGGAAGATGGCTCAAGTGCTTGGGCCCCTGACACCTAAGTGGGAGACGAAGGTGAAGCTTCTGATTTTGGCCTGGCCATTGTGGCCATCTGGAGAGTGAACCAGCAGATAGAAGATCTTACTTTCTCTCTCTTTGTCTCTCCCTCTCTCTCTGTAACTCTTACTTTCAAATAAATAAATCTTTAAAAAAAAAAAAGTATATATACTTCTGAATGTGGTCTTATTTGGAGATAAAATCTTTCCAGGGGCTGGCGCTGTGGCATAGCAGGTAAAGCTGCTGCCTACAGTGCTGGCCTTCCATATGGGTGCCAGCTCGAGTCCTGGCTGCTCCACTTCTGATCCTGCTCTCTGCTGTGGCCTGGGAAAGCAGTAGAAGATGGCCCAAATCTTTGGGCCCCTGCACCCACATGGGAGTACCAGAAGAAGGTCCTGGCTTGGATTGGCGCAGCTCTGGCCATTGTGGCCATCTGGGGAGTGAACCAGCGGTGGAAGACCTCTTTCTCTGTGCCTCTCCTTTTCTCTGTAACTCTGACTTTCAAATAATAAATAAATCTTAAAAAAAAATCTTTCCAGACACAATCAAAGTTTGATGAAATCATGCTGAATTAGGTGGGCTCTAAATCCAGTGACTGGAGTCTTTTTAAGGAGAGAGAAGTACAGGCTGGCGCTGCGGCTCACT